AAGAGTATCCCTGTTTGTAAGCCATCATTTGAGAAGGTGTGTTCATTACAGAAAAGCATGTCACAATGCTAAGAACTCAGGTCTCATTATTTCTGGAATAAGACATTCAATGCTCCCTGTTTCGAATATTGGCAGCATAAGGCTCTGGAAAATGAAGCCACAGGATGACTTGATTTGTAGTCTTGCTAACAAGGACAGTGTCTGAAATAGCATCCCAGCAGAAGAGAGTCCTCTGACAGTATCTTATATTCACTAGGTCTATGTTTACACTACGGGGTTTTTCCGGGATACCAGATGTGTTGTTTTTTTAAGTTTATCCTGTACAGACTAACTTGGCTACCACGTGAACCTACTGAAAGAGACAGTAACTGCATTAAGGTAAGCAGAAATCACCCTTCAGATAAAGATGTGTGATAGAAAAACTGAACAGCATTAGCAATACTTATTGGAAGGCTGGGCTTCAGAGACTACTCAATCCCAGTTTCTACATGGCTAAAATCACCCTATGAATGAAGGAGCATGGCACTCTGGATGAAAGGAATTCAAGGATTAAAATAAAAAAAAAAAATGTCCTTCATCTTCCCTATCTATTTGTGGGAGTTACAAGATACAGAATAAAGCAAGAGCAGCATGGCCCAGCTCCTCCATGGTTCGCGTTTCTTCCTTTGACTTAAAAAACGTGACCCATTGTGGCTAAAAGTATACTCCTGCCACCTAGTGGTAAAAACATTTCCCTTTTAAAAGAGCAGGTAGATTGCCTGGGAGTCAGTCAACTCGAGAAAACAGAGCTGGGCTTTTTCAGAATTATTACAATTATTTATTCATTATTTATTCGTATTGTGGTTGTAACAGGACTCCCTAGTCACACACCAGGACCACAATGTACTTGACGCTGTACTGAAACACACCTGAAAGCCAGAACATTATCTACAATAGATGTAAGGATTCTTATCCAGAAACAAACTTCCAGTAATCAGCAGCAAAGCAGTTGTCCATGCTTTGCTTCCAATTTGTAGTACAGTTTGTTTCACTGCACCCAAATATTGTATTGGGGTCAAGATGAGCAAATGGAGCCTATGTCCACCAACATCCTCCATGCTTCTCTTGCCCATCCACCCTCAAAGCTTGATGGTACTTCGGACACTTTCTATAGTACCATTTCCATCACCAAAGGAAAGCACTACTGCAGGCAATGCTTCATGTACATTTATGAGGCTTTTGATGCTCATCACTATAATTTTCAAACAATGCAATTCTGTGATAAAGACTACATTAAAAAAATGTAAAATGGGCACCCAGAAGAGATGTAGGAGCTCAGCTCTCCTCAGGGTCAGGCTCTTTGTTTCCTTTAAAATATGAAAAGCCCTCAAAATAGGTAGTTATTTTAAGATTTCTAATGAGAGGCCTGGCATCTCATCATTTAGAACTGGAGATGGGAAACTCTCAAACTTCTAGTACTACTAGAAAGAAATCGGCTTGTTTTTTTTCAGAGTGTAAATACGTTGAATGGGCTTTTCTGAACTTGGGCCACACATTATCCTTGGATGTACATGCAGCATACGTGTACTTGCGTATGCAAACAGCAATTGGGATGAGTGAATTCCACACTGCACATGTTATTTACTTTGTAATTTGCAACTATAACGTACAGTCCAAGTTTTGAAAACGTATCTGAATAATAAAGGACAATGTCATTTTAAAAACTTGAAGCAATTAAGCTTTATTAATGTAACTGCGTAGAAAGAACAGAAATGAATACAGGAGGAAATTCATCCCATCCAGAGAGTGAGCATAAAGAATGTCCATCTCTTTAGCCCTACTAAGCCTGGTTTTGATCATTAAAATATCTTCTGCATGGGGTGAATTTCACCCCCACTCAATAAATGTCTCTACTGTAGCAAAAGAACCCAGTCATGCTCTCAGAAACTAATGTAAATCAGATTATTCATGGTTACAGCTGACATAGCTGTGTGCAGAATTTGGCTCAAGCACAATGTATTTATATTTTAGTGTCTCTACAATTTTGTTTTAATTTATTATAGGAGCACGGATGATGTTTATCGCTGCTGCAGAACAATCCTGGTAACAAACCATTCTCTCTCACCTGGGGGGATTCTCCAGGGAAACATTTTAATTTTAAATAAAGTCATGGCAAAGTAGGGTATCTGTTAGTGATAGAAAGTTCTATTAAAGCAGAGCTGAGCTCTAGTAATAGCTAACCTTTCCAATCCTATTTTATGCAACACATTAGTGAGGTTATTAACCTTGCACCTTTGTTCCATGAAACCTGAAGATAAAGTGACCCAAGGCTCTCTGTACCTGCAACAGGGCTGATATAAAAACCCTGTTTTACTCAGGATAGGTTGCTTCCGGAAATACATGAACTTTAACAAAAATCTCTCCTCCATTATTTGGGTGAAGCTCCCCAGGGCTCCAATCCAACCTGGCATGACACCTGAGCTCTCCTGCTGGCTGTTGCACCACTCAAATGAAACAAGCACATCAGTCAGGTTGCTGCCAGAGTGCACTCCTTTGCTGTTAGGAATTTCCCAAGCAGCAGTGGAGTACATATGATCAAAGCATAATTTCTTCTGTGGCCCTCTGAGGGGAAAGGCAGGATCTATTAGCTGTTAGGAGAAGACAGACTAGTAATAGCTAGAAATGAGTTGTTGTGGTCTGAAAGAGTTTCAGTGCATTATGAACTTGAATGTCAACAGGAAAGAAGGCTTAGTTCATTCAGCGTACATCCCCATGCTGAGAGATAGATATATTCTACACTGGTCTGGTCCAATGTCCACTACAGTCAATGGGAATCTTTCCATTAGCTTCAGTGGGCTTTTTTGAGCAATCCTGCAACTAGGTAGGAGGGTGGACAAGATCCAATATTTTTTTTTCCCCAAAATTAAAGTTGGTTGAGGTTGCAGAGTTGTGCTGCAATGGAGACCACTCTGTTATTCAATTCTCTAGACAGATTCTGCAGGCCAGTGATCCCTCACTGACCAATTCAGAGGATTATGAGGCACAAGGGTGGGAGGATGGGAGTATGCCTGTCAAATGGCACTGGCACCAGCTCTGTTTCCAGGAAAGATGGCACAGCATGTCTTCCCCGTCACTGCAGTTTGGCTAAGGAGCTTGAAACGAGGCAGTTTTCTGCCAAGTAACTAGGGATCTCGATGTTAGAGGTGGAATTTGTTGAAACCATTGCCCTGCCCTCTGCCCTGTCAGTGGCATGGATAAAGAATGACTACAGCACGTTTTGAGGGAGCTGTCTGTGAATGCTGTGCTATTTACTTGGCTCTGCTTACAGCAGAGGAGGAAAAATACTCAGAAAGGCTCCGTTTTCCCCGTCCATCCTGCCTAGCACACAAGGAGCAATGTGAAAGCTATGCCATACTCACGGGAGTCTGAAAGCAGTAGAAAAGCTGAGTAAGGAATGGATGGCTTCTTGCCAGGGATAGGATACGCTTCTCAGTCATGGTGCATTCCACATCATCATCCTGGATAATAACATCCTTCTTCAGTATCTTCACTGCATACAGCTGGTCGGTCGCCTTCATTTTGGCAAGCATCACCTACACCAAAGCAGGGAGAGTGAACTGTATGGGCTAAATCCTGGCCTCTCTTATGCATATATGGCAGAAAGACACAGGGGCCTCTCATACCACCTGGTAAGACATGGCAGGCAGCACACAAGGGTTCACCAGAAAGTCCAGCCAGCTAATGATTCAGTATCAGCAGGTGTGGGTGTGCCCAACTAGTGACAAATCTAGCTGGCATGTGCGCTGCCACAAGAGCAGGCCCTAACTGGTAGAAGCAGGCATGCAGGTTGCTCAACGATATAAAGAGCAGCAAATCTCTCCTAGACCTGGCCAGTGGCATCCTTCCCAGTGCTAGTAGGAATCCTCTCTCATAACACACACTGAGCCTTCTGTCCCACAGTCAGAGCTTGGTCCGCTCACCAGATTTGATTGCACCATTTGCACAATGGCTTTGAGGCAAAAAGTAGGTGCATGTTTTGCATGCAGATGGAGAGTAAGCACTGAAAAGTTCGCCTGCCCAAGGAAGTGCTGCATAAGAGAGCACTAATGCTGAAGCACAGGACTACTCAATATACGACCTGGGGGCCACATGCAGCTTGCAGCCCATTTATTTGCGGCCCGTGGTGCAGTTTGGGTTTACACGGGGCTCAACACCTGCGGCCTGCAGGTGGGATCCTTTGAACATGGCCTCCACTGGGAACACACTCCACAACAGCAAGGCATCTCCCAGGCGCATGAGCACTGAAAGACGCAAGCAGACAGGCTGGCTGGAACAGATGGGTAGAGGGTGTTGGCATTTCTAGCCTTAGGGAGAAGGTGGCAGGAGCACCGGGGACATCGTGGGAAGTGCTTTTACTCATGCCCGTCAGTGTGAAAGAAGCTATATTTGCATATATTTGCACCTATATTTGCATGTTTAGGCAACCACACTTAAGTTGCAGCCCTCAGCATGTGCTGAGTATTATTGTGGCCCCCAGGGCTTCCAAAGTTGAGTAGCCCTGCTGTAGCATTTGTTATGCTCTCTTGTGTGTGGAAATTGTTCCTCTGGTTGTGGCAGTTTTCCCTTTTTATTGTAGCCAGTCTTTCAATTTGTGGTTGTTTTACATTCCCTCTCCCCCCACCTCTTCTCTATAGCTGATCTTTCTGCATACTAGATGTATAATCAGACTGATATGCACTGAGCTTTCATGCAGTCCCCTACTGATTTGCAATCATGTTTGTCTTGAGAGGGATCTTACCTTTTATCTGTTTTGGAAAGCACTTCATGTTGGGAGCCAGTAATATAATAAATAGCACCGCCACCACTTTGTGAAGAGCCAAGAATAAAACTCACCTTCCCAAAACTGCCCTTTCCCAACACTCGGATAAAGGTTAGGTCTTTGATCCCAAGTTTGCTTGCTGAACTTCCACTCACACTGTTGCTGTCTTTTGGACTTTCTTTTCCTTGGCGCCTCAGCGTGGACCTGGAAGCTAATTTCTGTGGGGGAAAATAGCTCTTGAGTTTCCCTAAAAACTGTACACCAAGTATGACATGCCACTGTGTTTACTAATGACACATATCTGTCTGGGTACATCTGCTGTGCACAACTTCACTGTATTGCTGTTGAAATGGGAAATATGTTGGGCATAATATCACCATAGATGCCATGCGCACCAAGCCTACCCATCATCATCCATAGCCACAACGAAACATAAGAACTGCGGTTCTTGCTCCATGTGTTTTACCCTGTAAAGTCACTTTGCTAAACTTAAAGAGCAAGTCTGACCTCCCTACTTTGGAAATGGTAGAGATCAGTGAGAAAACCTGGCAATCTCTCATCTGAATTACAGGGGTATGAATAAATAGGGCTACCTAAATCCTCACACCACAGACAGCACTAGCGACGTTTGGAATCTAAAAGATTTGTGTCTAGCCACTTCCTCTCCTCAGCCTTTTCTCCTTACAAGCTACCTCCCTATCACAGGGCTGCAAGTCCTCCTCCCTAACTAGAGGTCAGGTCCCATTTGATGGTGTCCCTTCAAGTTTTCAAGAACACTGCCCTTAGCAATCTCTTTCTGCAGCTATTATTTTTGCAGTAGTTACATCCAGTGCTTTCTGTTCGTAACTCTACAGATGTAGGTTCATAAGAGAAGTCCCAAATACTTAAAAGATAAAGGATTTTCTTGCTCTTTTTTTTTCTTAAACTAAGTCATACACAGATTTCTTGAGCACCACCTTGTGACTGTTTCATAACAAAGCACAATTCACAAAATCCATCCATGCAGAATGAAACAAAGCCATTTGGAACAACTCCCCATATCCCTGGAAAATATAGCTAAAGGAAGTTAACACTTGTATACTGACAAGTCATAAACTCCCAACATATTTTGATAACTTAAATGCAATCTTTACTTCACAAAGAATTAGGAAAACCCAATACATACCAGTGCACAGATATGGTGTATCAATATGTTGTGCAAATTATGCAGAGGACATACTATTAGTGTCCTGATTTTCAGAGTACTGTCTGCCTTCTGTGAAGCTAATGGGCAGTTTGGAAACTCTGTAAATTACGGAATAAATGACTAATAGTTTTACAGTTTGTGCTATAGACTGAAGCATGATAATGAGAGGTTTGAAAATCCTTGTAGGCCTATTTTGCTATGAGCTTGATCCCAAGTCCATTAAAGTAAATAGGGGCGATATCCTCAACTTGTTCCATTGATAGAGTATGCAGATTTATACCATCTGTGGATCTGGCCTGGGAATCTGTCCATTGATTTCAATGGGCTTTGGATTGACTCCTTTGTAGCTGGAGAATCAACATATTATTTGATCTTCCACTATTTGATCTGAGGAAGTGGGTCTGGCCCACGAAAGCTCATCATCTAATAAACCATCTTGTTAGTCTTTAAAGTGCTACATTGTCCTGCATTTTGCTTCAACATATTATTTGTCTTTCTTTTCCCCTACATTCCCCCGTTTTCTTTCTTTCTTACTTCAGTTCTACATGAAGACTAAGTTGATTTATGACATATGCCAGTATACAATGTTCACTTCTTATATGTTGAAATTTGTCATGTCTGTTGATTTATTTTGTCACTTTTTAAATTTTTATTTATTATATTATTCTTTTCATGTATTTTTTGGAAAACATTAGTAATAATAAAATAATAAAATTGAATCATAAGTTCACAGGTTACCAAAGGCCTACTCTTATTTTCAAAGCTGAAAAAAGACTTAAAGGGGATCCCCAGACAAAATTGGAAATGAAGGTCCTACCATCCTTCCAAAAAATTATGATTGACATGAAATAGCTTAAGTAGGATACTACAAAAACACTTTAGAGTTGATTTACTGTCACAAAAGACAAGTTGTATCATGTTTATCTTTCTTGCTCTTGATGCAGACACATTTCTGACACGATCATAATTTGGGCTCCTTGCAAAAATCACATTCTGATAGCATCACTGAGACAGTGCTCCCCTTTGGGCACTGAAATCAATTCAGAGATGAAAATCATTGCATCGGAGGGTTGTGGGAAACCACTCTGCAGTTTTTTCCATTTTCTACATTTTATTCTCTCTGGTACTCATGTCGTGTACCTGGGTTGTGCATCACAGAAGTATTTCATATAATCATATTGTGCTCTGGGCTTAGTGACCCCTCAAATAAGGGGAGAGCTCAGTTTGTCTTTCCCCTCGCCACTTTGGCCAGCCTTGCTTATTTTCATAAATATTTACAGACATTTTAACACTTTGTTACATTAAATTTTACAACGGTCTAAACAGATTATAGACTATGTTAAAATGCATGAATACACAGTGCACATTTAAGCCTCAACCCTGCAAACTCTTAGGCACAATGGACTAATCAAGTACTTAAAGTTAGGCATGCATGTACTACCATCTCCTGGACTCGGGCGTTAGAGCCCTTTCTATCCCTGGAAAGTTCTCACTATTATGTGACTGAAGGGACAGAGGCGGCTTTCCATATTGCTCCAATGACTAATAATATCTAGTTGCTATATGACATTTCCTATCCCTAGATGTCAAAGCTCTGTGCAAAGAAGGTGAGCATCACGACCTTCATTTTACAGATGGCTAAATAGAGACAGAAGGAGGTGAAGCAATGGGTCCAAGATCAGTTAGAAAAACAGTAGCAGAACTAGAACTAGAGCCCAGGTCTCAAGTCCCAGTGTTGTGCTCTATTCACTAGGCAATGCTGTCTCCCTATTTGCCACTGGGCATGTTCCTGAATAACAAGGGAAACAAGAGTGTAGACTGGATTCTCCTCTTACTTGTACTGATCAAGACCAGCTCAATGGAGCTACACAGCGGTAAGTGTGAGAGCAGAATCAGGCCCTCGATTTTGCCACATTTTACATAGATCAAACAATAGGAAACACACACTGAAGCCTCTGCCAGTGTAAGCTTTGAAACTGAACATTCACTTTCCAGGAGAGGCATTTGCTGAATGTCACAGAACAAAAGCCAACTTGTACAGGGCACCCCACAATGCCCCTCTTTCTGACCAAAGCCCTCAACTTCTCTTGTGCTTGTAGAAATGACACAGTTGGAAGCTCTGATAAAGAAAGGAGAAAAGTCTCACCGAATTTGGAGAAATAGTTCCTGGCTGCAGTCCCATGCATGCTAAGGTTTTCGCCAGTTCGGCAGCATTCACTCCACAGTTGGGTGCCACACTGGCTTGGCACCTGATATGTACATTCATTTTACACACTGAGAGAGTGAAAAATAAAATCAAATGAACAACTGGAACAACACTGGGATAAAAGTTCAGAATGTTAGTGCTGAAAAATAGTATGGGCTAGAGGGCGAAAGTAGTGGGGGGGAGTTTCATGTTAGATATTAGTAAAAACTATTTTACTAGTGTGGTGAAATACCAGAACAGGTTACCGGGGGAGATTGTGGAATTTCCATTCTTAGAGGCTTTTTTAGACCAGGCTTGACAAAGCCCAGGCTGGAATGATTTAGTTGGGGTTGGTCCTGCTTTGAGCAGAGGGTTGGACCTGATGACCTCTTGAGGACTCTTCCAGCCCTAATCTTCTATGATTTCCCACCTGAAAAGCTACATCATTGCCTTGAGCTTGTGCTACTGATGCCACAGAGACTTTTGCCAAAGGGACTTGCAGTGGAAGCAGGATCAGAGCTCCTATGAAAGAACAATGCTACGGAAATCAAGTCACTGTACCTCAAAATATCCTGTATGGTGCAAACTGGTAAGGTGTCCATTTGTGTACACGTATGAGGTTGGTAGGTACAAGGGAAGCATGCACGGCTGTGCATCAATATTCACTAAGGCAAATTAGCTTCAGAATGCCATAGAACATAGCAATATACTTCAACAGTGACTTACAAAAAATAACTGGGAAAATAACTGATGTTTCAATTTGCTGGGCAAACTGAAAATTTTGAAGATAGTATCAGCAAACCAAAATGTCAGGAAAAAAATGTTTGGGTTCATCAAAAGATTTCATTTAATTTTTGAGCTTGTAAAAATTATTTTTAAAAAATAAATTGAACAAATTTCTAAATGAAGTCATTTCAAATTTAAAAAAAACTAAGTGTTTCGCTTTTAAAATTAGGGATGTTAGTCATAGTGTAATTGAATAGTTGGGTAACTACATGAAATCTTATCAATACACCACTATTCGATAGTCCCTGGGGGCAAGTACAGCAGACGGTGTGCTCCCGTTCCCACTTCTGGAGAGCCCATTGCCACCCCATGTTGCTGCCTCTGTATCAGAGGCAGTAGCACGAGATGGCAGAGGGAGCCAGTCTGTTAGGGAAGCCAGTTTAAAAACAAGCTCCCTGCACTGTTGCTTCTGATAAAGAGTGTCGTGGCTGCAGCCCCTGTCCACAGTGGGTCCGAGCTCCCCACGAACAGAGGATGTCCTGGCAGCAGCCCCTCTGTGTGTGTGGGAGGGGAGGCGGCGGGGAAGGTTAGAGCTCTACTGAGCAGCCTCTGTCTGCGGAGAGCCTGGGCTCCCACCAACATTCATTCCTACATGCCTCCCCGTGCTGTCTCTGCAGGAGGTGTGTGGGGAGGGGAGGGGGACCAGGCAGGTCTGCGGAGCCAGCATGCGCAGAGAGGCAAAAAAACAACTCCCCATGCGTATCGGCTCCAGCCTGGTCCCCTCACCCTCCGCACTGCTGCCTCTGTATCAGAGGCAGCAGCGCAGGGGTAAGGGTGCAGGCAGATCTGTTGCTCATGGGGAGCATTCTTAAAGCCAGCACCTTATGGGCACTGGCTCCTGCTCCCCCGCTTGCTGCCTCTGATACAGAGGCAGCAGTGCGGAGGGTGAGGGGACCAGGCTGGAGCCGATACGCATGTAGTCAACTACACATTGACATCCCTATTAAAAATGTAGAAACAAAATTATTGTATTTAATTATTTTATTTTTAAGGTTTTCTTAAATCAAAACTACTCAGTTAATTTGACACAAAATTGCAAAATGTTTCAGCCAATTTGAATCTGAATTTTTTGGCAAAAAGAAGTGTGTCTAAACATTTTTGCCTAGATCTAATACATAACTATATAATTTTACATCCCTTTGAAGTCAACTAACTGTGTGACATGTTAATCAACAAACTCTGATGACTTTTCCTCTGTTAATATTTTTTTCTGAAACCTTGTTAGTATTCACTACTTAAGCAATGGCTCAGTAAATAGAAAAAGCAACGCTGGAAATAGCAAATTCATGAGTAATTTCAGCTATCTGTATTAAAAAAACCTGGACAGACAGTGTGTATTAGAATCCACTCTACAGCCTGGAAAAATTTGAGCTATACATCACTTATGTATCCATGGAGTGGAGGGGAATGTAATCACTTAAGCTAAAAGACACAGGAAATTGTCCCTTCAATTCTTTGATTTTCCACACATCCACAGAAGTTTTTCTAAGAAAGCATGAATAAGGCTTGCTTACTTTTACACTGCAGTCCTTGCCGCATTATCCCCCACAGCAAAGACCCACAATGATCACAAAAGGTTGGTACTTTATAGTTGTGGATTCTAAACTTGTGGGGAATGTTGATTCCAAATCTTTGTTCAGAAACCTGAGAAGGAATCAAAAAGACAAACACAGGGAAGAAAAATCAGTACATATGGAACAATAATTTTATTAACAAAAAGTACATTAGTATATGAACATTGGGAACAACTGCAGAATTACTTTTAAAAAATCCCAGTTCTGAAAGCATCATCTTTGCTCTCCACTGCACTGTAATTTACCAAATGGTAATCATGTAATGCACTGATTGAGCTCTCATCAGCAATGAGCCAGCTCTGGCAGATTTTGTGACATGCCTTGTAAGCAGAACAAAGCAAATTTTACAAAGGATTCATTAGTTAATGTCAAATCCTTCAGTGAATTTGGAATCATTAAAACCAGATGTGTCTTATCTTTGCCTCATCACAAACTATCAAGCCATTTAAGCACTGAATACAAATTGTTGCTAACTATAGGAGTTTGTTGCTCATTAATCAGTAGTAAAAATTATTGGTTTACTTTTCTTTTGCATGTGGCATGTATTTAAAAATGACGAATCTCTCTATCATTTTTAGCACGTCAGCAGTTTTTCTAGATCTTCCAAATTCCTCACTTTTTCTGCCCCTTTCTTATCGATATTTATTTCTATTTTGGACTCTGATTTATCTATATACACACACCTGGGGCTATCCCTCCCCCCCATCCCCCGCTTCCCCATGTGAACTATTTAGATCACAAATGCACAATCAGAAAACTTTAGAAAATGTGACATGTTGAACAAATGGATCCTGTTTTATTTTGTGTCTCAACATTTTGGTCCTGGCAGATTGAAAGGTGAATCCATATCTCATGTAATTTAAAATATAGGTGTGAATGGAATAACAGGTTTCAAGTTAATTATACCTCTTGAACTTTCTCTCTCTCTTTCGCTCTCTCTTTTTTTTTTTTTTTTTTTTTTTTTTTCTAGAGGTCAGTATTTTTTTCATTAAAGTGTTTAATTACCATCTTGAGAGATTTGGTATTTGATGTTTTAGGATTGGTGAAAAGTAATTTTAAAGTATCAGAGGGGTAGCCGTGTTAGTCTGAATCTGCAAAAGCGACGAGGAATCCTGTGGCACCTTATAGACTAACTGAAGTGTAGGAGCATAAGCTTTCGTGGGCAAAGACCCACTTGGTCAGATGCATGCATCTGACCAAGTGGGTCTTTGCCCACGAAAGCTTATGCTCCTACACTTCAGTTAGTCTATAAGGTGCCACAGGACTCCTCGTCGCTTTTGCAGTCATTTTAAAGTTTAGCTCAACTGTTCTGCTTAGAAATAGTCAGCCATAGAATCTGTTACAATACAGCTTTTGTGGTGGAGAGTTACTCAATGACTAATAATATTCCTCATGGATGGATACTATAGAAAAACAGGACGCAGGACCGGAAATGATCACCTGGGTCAGAGACCAGTTGCCTGCTGTTGTAGACAACCCTGCCACATAATCCCATTCATAAATTTATAAAGTTCCGCCTTAAAAATAGTTATGTTGTTTGTCTTTGCTACACTACAGAGAATTGTTCCAGAGCCTGCCTCTCTCTGATGGTTTGGAACCTGTTTTTAATTTCCAGTCTAACTTCAGTCATGAACAGTTTATACCCATTTGTTCTTGACCCAACATTGTCCTTTAAGGGAAACAGCTCTTCTCCCTCCCTGCTGTATTTAAAAAGTACAATCATAGCCTCTCTCAGGCTTCGTATTGCTGGGTTAAACACCCCAAACTATTTTATTCTTCTCTTGTAAGAAAATTGGGTCTATATTCCCCTGCTTACCCTAGCAGCCCTTCTCTAAACCTCTTCAGCTTTTATCAGGGATTGGGACATTTGTGAGCTCACCTAGTGACAAGGTCCGGGGCACGGCCTAGTGCAGTGGTCCCCAACGTGGTGCCTACAGGCGCCATGGCGCCCACCAGGGCATTTATGTGTGCCCGCCTAGTGATCAGGGCCAGCCCGAGCCATTCTTGTGTCCCAGGCCCTGGGCACCCAGTGCATGCGCAACCTCCATCCCGGGCGCACGGCGCATGCGCGGCCCCGCCCCCAAGCACCTGGCAGCCCCAAAAGGTTGGGGATCACTGGCCTAGTGGTTGGGGCCGGGGCCAGGAACAAGAACCAGAAGCCAGAGCTAGAAACTAAAGAAGGGCACAGGGCTGGGGCAGATTGCAACTGGGCAAGAACAATGCACGAATAGGTCTGCAGCACGGGAAACAAGCAGGTGATTATAGCTGTGGGTGTAAGTGTTCAGCAATCTGCAACTTGCTGCTGTTACACACCTGAGGGCTCCTGGCAGCCAATTAGAGGGCTAGCCCATCAAGAGACCAGCCAATTGGCCACAGTCCAATTCAGCTCATGAACCAGGCTCAGCCCAGAAAAATTGGACAGAGAGTTCTTGACAATTTTGAATTCATCTTTCTTCACCACAGTGAACCAGAATTGTATCCAGTATTCCATATGAAGTTTTACCATTGCTTTGTACAATGGCAGAAATGTTTCCCAATTTCTAGTGGAAATACCTCACCTGATACATCCTAAAGATTATCAAGTTCTAGGAATGAACCACACAAGACACCAAACAGTCAGAGCCTTACCTAAAAGTGTGCCACACAGAGCAAAGACTACAGAAAGAGGAAGAATAAATTAATAATAATATAATAATAAGAAGAAGATGAAGAGGTCATTTGATCATAGTATACAAGTACTTTCTTTGGGAGGGAGGGGAACAGCTACTAAGGGGCTCTTTAATCACACAGAGAAAAGTGTAATAAGGAGTCCGAGCGAGAGAAATAAGTAATTATTTAACAGTGAGGGTGATTAATCATTGGAACCAACTGCCAAAGAGTGTGGTACAGTGTCCAGCTCTGGAAGCCTTCCTATCAAGACAAGATGCAAGTAAAATAGTCTTTACTCAAACACAAATTATTGAGTTCAATTGAGGATGAAATTCTATGGCCTCTGTTACGCAGCATCTTAGACCACAATCTAAATTATAAGTTCTGGCCCTAGAATCTATGAATGGAAATAATAAACCAAAGAAAAATAAATTCCATTATTTTGCAACCACTACCACCCACCCAAACCTGAAGATTCAGCAAGTCCTATGATACAAGTATCCAATTCTGACTTTACCTTGGTGTCTGTCTTGTCAATATTGTTTTGGCACGTGCAGGCTGTAACAATCAGATGATGGCAACGCTTGTGTACAACACAGGTACATACTAGGAAACAAAAGAAGCATATTGAACTATCAAAAGATTTAGAACTTATCAAACAAACTAGGTTCTTCTAGATTCGATTTAAATCAGCAGCAGGTAATGGAATTATATGAAAAATGAACACCATGGCTGAGATTTGCAAAGTAGCCTAAGGATTTGGATATATAGTGTAACCCCCAAGGAGATTACTTAGTTTCCATTAATTTTAAGAGAAATTAGATGCTCAAATAGTCTAAGACGTTTTTAACGTATCAGCCTACATAAACATTGTGAGATGCATGTAGAAATGTCATTGCAATCCAAACATTATTAACAATGAACTAAATAAAGATGACCACTGAAATCTTCCAATGAAGATTATTGCAGGCGATGCAAACAAAAACACAAAAAAACACTGCTTTGACACAATTCAATGCAGTGGCTTCAGGAAGGGATATTTGTGAGGTCAAATATATCACTGGTGATTGTGTGTCTAGAAGTCCCTCAGTGCCTTACATTAGCTTGCACTCACAGTGGCCTGTCTATCAGTAAAGGAATGCTTTCTTTTTGTTGAGCAAGAGACATTTAGTTTATCTGCAGTTCAGGTCAATGTGAATGCCCTGGTTTCCCTGCACATTTCACAAGAGCCAAGCTGCATTATTAGTCTAACTGAAAGACCAATCATGCAGGAAGCCAACTTAGTCATACTCACAGCCCTCTAGTGCAAAGCCACAGAGAAAGGGAGAGGCCAAGATGAACTGATGAGAATTCATTGAACAGAAAAAAAAGTACTGTAAAAATCAATACAGCATATTACTTTGTATTAGGAAAAAGCAGAATTTCAAACTACAGTTTCCCTTTGAAGTAATTTCTCTAATGTCAAGTGGGTTTAATTGCATAGTTAAAGGAATTATTGCAGACTAAAGCCATCCACCAAAGGGCCTGGAGACTGCATGCTTCATGAAGGCAGGTCACTAGGTTGAGGCACAATAGGCTGCAATCTGATAATGAGTAGGGCTCAGTGAAGTGGAAGGCGTCCACTGCCACATAGCACAGTGCAGGATAGGAGCCATAGCATGAGGATGCTGCATATGTATGAGCGTTCTCTCATGCCGCCAGCCTGACAGCAATATGAATCGGGACTTCAAAGTGGCCCTGCGGGAGGAGATGCAGCTCAGTGTTGGAATATTCTATAATTAATACACGGCATAGGGATAAAACACTTTACCTTGGCACTGGTATCCCTGCTTCCCAAACACTCCCCTGTGCAAAACAAAACATGGAACATAAATCACAATTACACCCCAAGACACTTTGGCAGTAGTTTTATGAGGGTAGAACCAAAAGGCAGTGGAGCCCGAGCATTCTGATTCACAAAGCAAGCAGCCCGTGGTGACATGAAGATAGTGAACGTCTGTAATTCAGTGCATGTAACAAAGGGACAGGGCAGGCTTTGGCTCAAAATTCATCTTTTTTCCACATTATCCTCTCACCACATTTCCTTTAGTACTTCACCTACACCACACTAAGTAAAACAATTATTAAAAGGACCAGATTACATGTGCTCTATTATTACCTCTTAAGGACCTAAGTTTAACAGAGAGAAATAATTACTTCTCCCTATGCTCCTCTCAGCCATTTCAGCTTAATGGGTGGTTACCCCCTATTCTTTCACCCAGTGTTCCCTCTAAGCTGCGCAGCAGCACAGCCCCACAGTTGTTTAATGAGTCGCATCCAGTCAGGCAGCTCTGTGCACGGAGCCCTGCACCTATGGCTGATTAAGAGCAGAACACTGCTCTCCCCCCATTTTAGCTCCACATTTATTAACCTGCTCTTTATACCTTGAATGATCTGTGTTTTCTCATCCACCCAGCATACTCTCTCTTCCTTCAAATCCCCTTCAACATTCCTCCCTGTTTTCTTCTCACCATCAGTAATCCCCACAGCATCAACTGAACTGCTGTCCACGATCCAGTCTAACTCTTAGTCTTGTCTAATTTAGGTTGTAAGCTCTGTTACTTAATTGGCATTTGTGAGGTACACAATGGGGCCAGACCTGCTAGCAGGAGCATAAAGATTGTTATTATGGGCTTGTCTACACAGTCAATTAGCACATGGCAACCTGGGGTGTAAATCTACAAAGCGTTAGTTTGCTTTGTACTAACTCACAGCATGGACCATGGTACTGTGCACTAAAAGTTTTATAGTGCACTTTGACTTACTGCTGTGGTAGTAGGGGCCCACACAGTGACTTAGACTGTGCACACAGACTAGTGAGCTGTACAATCACAACCTAGGAGAACGTGCTCAGGGGAAGGAAAGGCCAATGTGATGGAGGTTGTGTAAGTCATTCTTACCAGATAAATTCCTTGCAGTGGGAGCAATATGTTGGCTGTCGCAAATAGGTAGCCATAAATTTGTGCCCATTGACTTGATGTACTCTTCTTCGCATAGCCCTCTGGCGTTTCCGAGTAAAATTTTTAAAAATTCTCTCTCTCTGGAGGGTCCCTATACAGGAAAATATATACAACATAAATATTTATTTATGATTATCCATATATAAGGAGTAATAAAATTATTTTATATAATCATTTTGATCCATATATCTCAAAACACTTTACAAGGTTATCAATCATTATAACCCCTATTTAAAGATCGGGAAGCTGCAGAGAGAAATGAAATTGTGTGTGCCAGGTCAGAAAGCAAGACAACACAAAGACAGGAATTGAATACACAACTCCCAGCTGCAGCACTGAACAGGTTTGCCTGAACTTAGCTTTTCAGATCAAAGGCAGTAGACATTTGCATCACATAAAAGTCATGAATACTACAATGAATAGGCCAGTGTGTATGTACTGCTGCCCTCTACTGGATGGAATCAGAGCTGATCAACTGTGTATTATATGTGACAGACACTGTACAATGATAATGGAAAGTCTCCTCTCTAGTGAAAAGCACAGGGCCTGGCCTTGGGATAAGAGGTTAAATGTTCTATTGAAGTTGATGCAAGGAAGTGCCACATGGCCACGGTGTTCACCACAGTGACAACACAGAAGACTGTACAGTTGCAAACTCTGTCTCTGATTAGTTTAATCAACACCACTTCTCCTAATCTGAAAGTATAACAGAGGTGACATGTGGTAGTGGGGAACCAGGTCATATCGCCTCCTCTCTTTCCCCCTCCTCTGCCCTCTGTTTTGCTTATATTGAGCATGTTCAGTTACATCAGCAAAAGCTGCAGCCCTCACTCTGCACACCCTGAAGGTATGGGTCATCCTGGCTATTACTGTAATAACTGCCACATTTGCCTCTTAAGAACACTGTGATTGAAACGTATCACTTGAAAATTCAATCTGCTGGTCGATAGTGTCCTGATAAAATAGGTGAGCCACATGGTATGTGAAGTTAAGGTTTCCCTGTATGATGTGATTAAAATATTTCAAATGGACCTGGCAAACAAGTATATTTGAAACAAAATAATGTGGACTCTGCTTAATTTGCATATAACCAAAAAGTAAACACAGTTATCAAGCCGAAAGGGGGAGAGTTTTCAAACAGATGGCAAAACCATCATGAAACATCCTTACTTACAGATACCCAGTCTCCTGAATCGCAGCTAGAAATGTTTTTCAAGTGGGGGAGACATATAAAAAAAGGAATAAACTCTCCAAGGTACCCAGTCCATTCTCCATCAATTCATCACATGAAAAAGGACAAAGGAAGCGACCGTTAAACAGAAGAAGGGGTTCCTGGCCAAAAAAGTTGGGCCAGTAAGACTGTGTAGAGCGTGTGGTGAGAAAACTTTGCTTCGATTTAACACAGTTTGTTAAGTTAGGCCGTGGGTGGGCAATACTTTTTGATAGGGGGCCACTCAAAATTTTGGTAAGTGGTCAAGGGCAGAACTTTTCTGTGGAGGGGGAGTAGGGTCTGGGACAGAGGTTAGGTGCAGAAGGAAGCTCGGGGTAGAGGATTGAGGTGCAGGAAAGGGTGTGGGATCTGCGACAGAATTTGGGTGAAAGAGATGGTTGTGACCTAGCGCACGGGATTGGGTGCAGGGTCCAGGAAAGGATTCTGGTCTGGGGAAGGAATGTAGGAGTGGGTACAGAATGTGGGAGGGAGTTGTCAGCTGGGACACTTAAAATCCCTTTTTGTAGCTAATTATCTTGTTTTACTGTTTTATCAAATCCATTGCATCTGAACTGAAGTGTCTGAAGAACTATTTGAAATAATAAGCTGCTATATTATTGTCTTAAAGAAATAATAAACTTAAAATATTTGTATTGTCTAGGAGAGGGTGGGCAGTTCTAGACATACATTTCTGGAGGCAATCTAAGGGTGTGTCTAGACTACCTAGTTTTGTCGACAAAAGTGGACTTTTGTCGACAAAACTATACCAGCGATTACACTACCGCTGAGTTCTGTCGACATAACATCGACAGAACTCAGCAGTTTTGTCGACTCTGGTATATCTCATTTTATGAGGCATAACACCTTAGGCATAACACCTTCTGTCGACAGAAGGTGTTATTGCCTGTAACATTGCGTCCAGACTACGGAGTTCTGTCGACAAAGCAGCTTGCTTTGTCGACAGAACTCAATGTGTCTGGACGCTCTTTGTCGACGGAAGTTTTGTCGACAGTATCTGTCGACAAAACGCGGTAGTCTAGACGTACCCTAAGACTGGAAGTGCGTTGGGGATACTCTCTACTATAAACAAGGCTAGTTAAGAGCCAAAGCATGGCTCACACACTGCAGCACAGACATAGCTGGGAGTGACTTGTATGCTGGAGGCTGTTTGAGAGCAGTCCAGACTGGAGGGTAAAATGACAAAGTAGGTGTGAAGGGCCTCTCAGGTTAGAAGGTAGGAGCAACACTCTGCGTATGTCACAAATCGGTTGAAACCTCTTCCATTTATCAACCAGCACTGTTCATTAGAATTTTTTTTTTAAACAATAAAAAAAATGCTGCCAACTTAATCAAGGCATGAGAGTAAAGAGTTAAACATTGCAAGCATACTTCATCGCCCTTTCTGCAGAACAGAGATAGAGAAAGCAATACTATCAGTGCTGCAGCCAACCATTTCAAAGGGACACCAACCAAATGACACA